CATTCCATTTCGTCCAAGAACTCTTAGCCAAAGAGTTCAAGTTCAACAATTGATTTAATCCATTCTATTTTGATCAAAATGTTGGAAGCAAAGCAGAACAAGTTCGTCCAAGTGTGAATTTCGTCCACATTTTGCAGAAGCAGATATGTTCGAATAATTCCTTGAACAGATATGTTAAGGCTAAGACCTTCTTTCATTTTGGCATGATCTCGTAATTACACGAGTTTGATAATGAGGCATAAAGAAAAATTCATATCCGGGAATTTATGTATATTTTGCTAGTCTCGCAAGTTACGTAAATCTTTCTAGTTTTGTAAGTTACAATATTCTCTTTATCGGGACTTCATATTCATTTGAGTATTTCTTTTTCCAGTCAAGAGAGCAGAGAATTTATATGTATATAGTATTACAGTATTTTCATTACCATCGAGCTATAATCGATGGGCAGGCCCCTATTGGGCAACCTCTGATCAGATGGTAAGTTATATACCGAGCCTACTATGGCCAAGCACTTATGAGCGAGCCCAGTTGGTCGAGATACAGAGTCTAGTATGGTCGAGCGCCTACGAGCAAGCCTACTACGTCAGAGTAGTTATATATATATATATATATATACCGAGCCTTATAGGGCCGAACAACTATTTTGCTTACTATATTGAGAAAGTTGAGTTAGTATCAGCAGGTAAGAACATCTTCAGATTATCGTTGACTTCCAGATACTTGCAGTTATTATATTATCAGTTTAGTTTCAACTTTCAGTATATTGCCTTACATACTTGGTACATTATTTCGTGCTGACATCCCTTTTGCTTGGGGATGTTGTGTTTCATGCCCGCAGGCTCTGATAGACAGGTCGACAGCCCTCCAAGTAGGATATCAGCTTAGCGGAAGATGTTGGTGCGCTCCATTTGCTTCCGAGTTGCTTGTTTGGTTAGTATGATTTAGACGTGTATTGTTTAGTATGGCGGGACTCTGTCCCGACCCTTATGACATTTATGTACTCTTAGAGGCTTGTAGACATATGTCGTGTACGTGAAAGATTGTACGACCTTGTCGGCCTATGTTTTGACTTATAAATAATTATGTTGGCTTATTAGGCTCATATTTCACATGTATATGATGATGTAATAAGAAAGATACGTAACATTGGTACTCGGTTGAGTAAGGTACCAGGTGCCCATCGCGGCCCATCGGTTTGGGTCGTGACAAATATGACCTATGTAGATGCAGTAAAGTCATACGAATGGATAATTAGGTATATAAAATAAGATATAGCAATATTCGTAAGTTCGACAAAATACCAAGCGAAGAACTTCAGGATTGGCTAAAAGCTGGAGGAAAAAGGAGAGGAAAGTCGCATAGGCACACATAAATGGTCAATATCGTAGAAGTTGCATGATGGAAGGTAGCAACAGTTATGCGATTGGAAGGAATTCGATCACAAGTCATGGCATGGGAAAGAGGCCTCAAGGGAGGAATGCCTTGACCTTTGGACTTATTCACGGAACAGTTGCCTAGATGGCAAGAGGACTACTAAAGTATTCGCAAGAGCTATGGGAGATGAGAATGAGAAGTGCATCAGTCAACATTCAAGAACGGATGTTCCAAAGGGGGGAATGATGTTACACCCCATATTTTCGTACATGAAAATACGCCATAAATAAATTAATTAATGAGAGCTCGAAAGTGAGATGTCATGTCCCGCAGTACTACATTACGACGATGTTGCACCCTATAGCATTGTATGTTGAATTTGTCATAAGGTAATTGACATCAGTCCAAGGAAAAGATAATTTGGAGATTATAAGGATTATGCTATTTCAAACAAGTAATAAGTAAATTCGTGAAGGTGAGAGGGGAAGCAAGTCAAAGAAAATAAATTTTCGTCCAAGTTTGGCATGTTGGGATAAAATACGGTCCGAGCTAACCTACTCGGTATTTATGGACTAGTATCATACGTGGTACCACATGACCATGATAGTAAGATGTATAAGGTATGTGAAAAGTGAGTAGTATTTTAAGTAAGTGGGAATAATTCTCAATTATGCGGGTAATTAATAATTATCAAGTAACAGGACATTACCTAGTTAATTGGGGATATATTGGATAAGACTAACCCTAAAACATGGTAGCATGCCACATATTAAAAGAATTAATCTTTGGTCATTTTTGGTTAAGTGGCAACTTAGTAGATTAATTACAAGCCACTCACTTCCAAGACCTTCAAAACAATATTACATATTAGAAGTGGGGGAACAACACGTTAACATTCTGATAACTTTTCAAGATTCATTCTCAAAGACTATAAGCAAAGGATAAAGTAACGTTATTGACAATGACTCTCTAGCCAAGAATATGGTAATATTATTAGCTCCAAACCTTTCAAATTCATCATTTAAATCTCTAAAATGAAGATGGAAATTTCAGCAACTCATCAAAAATTCTATCAATGTGACTTTGCTACAAAAGATCACATGAGACTACGTGATGTTATAGCAACAGGGTTTTGCGATTCGAAGGGAGTACGATGCAATCCTTCTCAAAGAATATCATACGGATTCTTCCCTACATCGATCCACCGTTACGCATTGTCGCAATCAACGGTGTTAAAGGGATTGTCAAGAGAATCGGTTCAGGTATATTAAGGCTATCCCTTTATTTATTTTGCCATGATCTATACGACACAAACGAAACGAGAAAATGCACAACTTCCATAAATGACTCTATTTATAGAAGTATTACAAGTGCCTATGTTCTTGAATTTTCATGTGTCATATTATTCTATCATCTGTTCATGAGTCTCAGAAAAATACATAAGTTGAAAAAAAAAGTTTACTTCATGATATTACTCGAAGGCATAATGGTCATATGACATTTCAAGAAATTTTATTGATGTACTTATCGAGCATTGCATTCATGTACATTGATCCATGACCAGATGGCGTTATATACGCTTATATAAGTATATATATGTATATGAGATATGGGAGAAGGTTGTGGCGTTATATACGCACCACCACCTGATCAGCTGGTATACGTTGATGATTTTGCCCACAATGGTCAATATGATATGACGGGATGCCCTCAGAGGCCTGATGATGTTATGGAACATGTACCTATGCACGACATGACATTCATATGCATATGCATGACACTACAATTATTTCATGATTTACAGAGTTATCTAGACTTACAGGTTGAGTCATTTACTCTATATTTCTTCCATGTTTGTTATGTACTTATTTATGTGCCTTACACAATCGGTACATTATTCGTACTAACATCCCTTTTGCCTGGGGACGCTACATTTCATGCCCGCAGGTCCCGGTAGATAGGTCGAGGGCCCTCCAAGTAGGCTATTAGCTCAGCGAAAGATGTTGGTGCGCTCCATTTGCTTTAGAGTTGCTTGTTTGGTTAGTGTGATTTAGACGTGTATTTTTTGGTATGGCGGGACTCTGTCCCGAACTTTATGGAAATTATGTATTATTAGAGGCTTGTAGGCAGATGTCATTATCACACCTCCTTTTTACCACCCGAGGGGTTTATATAAGGGAGTTTTTCTAATTTAAGTGACATTATTCGAAATGAGATTATTTTATTTAATTTTTCCGAGTCGCCACTTGGAATAGTTTATTTAGTGTCCCAATTCACCGCTTTATTTTAAATCCCAAATCGAGGAAATTTCGACTTTATTTTAAAAGTCTGCGAACCAGAAATTCTAAGTAAGGAATTTTGTTAACCCGGGAGAAGGTGTTAGGCATTCCCGGGTTCCGTGGTTCTAGCACAGTCTCTTAAACTATTAATAATTGCCCTATTATCTGATTTATTACATGTTTTTAACCCAGTGTGTATTTTTAAACTCTACAACCGCTTTTAATTATTTTATGGGATTATACAAGTTACGATTATCGTACACTTGTTTGTTTGATACATATTGCGGATCATGTCACGGGAACCGTACCCACGATCTACAACATGTTTAATTTATTAAAGTTATTAGAAGTTGTAGCCGGGTCACATAAATGTACCCCGAATTTGGAAATTTGGTATCACAACTATGTCACGGGAACCGTACCCGTAGCTATGAGTATTTTGTTATAAACGCACCTAAAGCAAACTACGAATGTTCAAAATATTTTCTACACTAAGTTATAATATTAATGTGAGGGCCATAGATTAGGGGATTCAATTGTGAATGGCACGCCTCGATTTATCTTTAAAAGATTTGTATTTCACTAAAACAAACTAAGGATGCTCCTATTTAAATATAATTTAAAATTAGGTATCACAACTACGCCACGGGAACCACACCCGTAGTTGTGATAATTTATTTAATCGCGCCTAAAATAAGCTACGATGTTTATTAATTAATATCTACAAAGAAGTTGAATTACAATAAGCTCTACCTTAAACCTCAAAGAAATAAGCAAGTAAACTAATAAGAAGTTTTATTATTTGGTTCCACTGGGTGAAAAATCTGCAACAAAGAAGAAACCTCATGAAACTTCACATAGGCAAGCAAATGAAAATTATGCCTAACTAGTTCAAGAATGCTCCATACAGCTTGTAGGTAAAACTCACCTTCCTTATGCATTAAAAATAGGTGCTTGAATGGATGTTTAAATTGTTCTATCAGTTAGGAACTTCAAAAGTACAAATCTTATCACAAAGGCAAAGATTGCTAAGATTTGGTCATGACAGCTAAAAGAATGGAATGCTTAAATGTTGCAATTGCATTATTAACATTTGAACTGCTACAATTTTCAAGCAGGAAATAGAGTTTCCTCGATACGTACTGCAATTTCAAAAATTAGAGATTTAAAATCCAATATCTTATTAATTATATTCTGCTCTTTCTCTGTTAACAAGCATGCTTGGAGCGTAATTTGAAATCTCTGAATGCAAGTCATAGTGTCTTAGCAACTAATATCAAATTACCCTAATATACCAACAAGAATATTTTTATTTACCCTCTTAGAACATCAATAAGCAGTAGAAGATATGAAGAGCAAATATTACAAATATTTTTCTAACGTGTTTAAGATACACAAAAATATTTTCTGTACATAACTCACTACGTATTCCACTCAAATATCTGTTTAAGAAAAACCTCCTTCGTGTAATTACTTTTTGAACATCAAAATTCTTGGCATAAAAGGGTTAAATGCTAAAAGACCAGACTCTAGTCCTATACACTCCTTCTGATTTAGCAGTAGCTCTTGCTTTTCTGAGGGGCATAAGGGAAGGAGCTACCATCCTGTAAGTGATGTATGCAGAGTAGCTAATAAAGTCAATCCTTATAGTTGATTAATGAAATTATTACACTATTTACACAAACATAAGGATTAAAGCTTGTATTAATGAAAAAAAACGTAGCAGGTGACCAAATTAATTCTAATAGGCATCATGTTTCATGAAAATAACACAAGATCTTCAAAGCTAAGTATGAAATCAATTGTTTAATCACTTACTAAAAGAATAATATAGAGAAATTTCAAACTAACATGGGTAAATAAAGAAAGCTTGAATAAATCAACTAAAGGTAGAAAACTAACCCGATTAGAGCTCAGCAATTCCAGAAACAGTAAAAATCAGCGGAATTGAACAATGACTAGAATTTAAATCAACCTCTCATCTTCGAAACAAGTTCTAAAGCTCCACCAAGCTCTAAAATCCCCAAAAAATGTGAGAGAAGACAAGGATTTAAAACTGAAAATCAGCTTTGCAATCTTTGAATTTTAGCTCTAAACTTTTTAATTCCCACTTGTTGCTAGAGGCTTCAGCGTGTGTGTGTGTTAAGGAGGGGTGTGTATTATAGCCAAAGTTAAAATGGATAAGAAGAAGGAAAAAATGGAGAAGAACCGAACTCAGATGCACCGTTTTCGTTTTTCGTATGAGAGAGGGTATGATTTTTCTTTTTTCTAAAATCTGATCTCATTTGTCTTAGGTCTAGGTTTTTATTAAAGGGTAAGGGGTTTGTGTAGGTTAGAGAGGTAGGCTAAGCATTTTTTGAGAGAATTGGGTCATGAAAATTGGCCCATATCCAAAATTAGACCCAAAAATAACTTAATCCCCATTTTCTTTGTTTGTTTTCTTTTTTTTTCTTTTCTTTAATTGTAAAAATCCTAATTAAATTAATTAAGCCCTAAATTAATATATTTTTTAGAAATTAAAATTCTTTCTTTATTTTTAACATTAAAATGACTAATTAACTTAAAACTAAAGAAAAATGCTAATTTTAAAGACTGAAATCTAAATATATGTAAAAATGACTTTTTTGTGATTTTTGCTTAATAAAATTAATTCCTACATGAAAATTGAACTTAAGATAGTATTGACAATTTTTTATGATTTTTCTTATGATTTTTAAAATATTAAAAATGCATGAAATGCAATTAAATAAAGAAAAACTTCTAAAATCCCTTAAAAATTATTTTTGGTATATTTTTAGGAGTTATTTTCATGCAGGGCAAAAATTAGGTGCTCACAGTTGCCCCTCTTTGCTCGAAAACATGAATAGTTTTTGGGTAAAGATAAAGTGAGCAATTACGAGCAATTTTTGCCCGTATGAGACTCCATTTGGAAGCATTTTGAAAAAGTTCGACCGAACCTTGCTTCGGAGGTTGCCTACATATCCTTGGCTATAAAGAAATCAGGTCGGTGTAGTTCTGAAAGTTTTGGTAGCTGAGACTACCGAAAAACTGTGATTTCACTGCTGTTTCTGCTTGCTGAGCTCCTTATTACACCAAAATGAAAAATAAAAAGCTAAACTAGCTAAGCCTATCAACTATGAGTTACAAGATTCCTATCTATGAATCTTCTGTAGCTTGATCTTTAGTCTTGGCTGGTTCTTCTTGTAGACTCTGATCTAAATCTTGATGCTCGTTAGCTGCAACCATTGGTTCATTCTCCTTCAACTTTTTGGATCAAGGCGGGACATGCAAAGCTTACTACTTCAATCATATCTTGAGCAGTCCACATCTTTTCTCCGCTTCTATAATTAGAGTCCAACTTTTTTTCTTTTTCTTCTTCTTTTATTTGGTTTAAGACTTCTTTTTTTGGTCATCTCAAACCTTGTGCCTCATGGTGAAAACCTGCTCTGGCACCAAAGCAAACAAACGAACAAAATTTTCTGCCCCAGTTTTCACTAGGAAAATTTCATGAGTTATTGTAACAAAAATCTAAACAATTTCTTTATTGAAAGCAATTAAAATCGGGATTGTGTATCCCTGAGAAAAATAGATTAGAGATTGGAGACCATATATCTAAAAATGCATTCAAATGGGGCTCGGAGGCACCAAGTTCGAAGGTTACCAGGTTATGCTGGAAAAATGACTAGGTTATGCCGGAAAGGTCCTCGGGTTATGCCGGGAAGGTCCACGAGTTATGCTGGAAAAGTTATCGGGTTATGCTGGAAAAGAAAAAGGTCCTCGGTTTATGCTGGGAAGGTCCACGGGTTATGCCGAGAAAGTCATCGGGTTATGCCAGAAAAGAAAAAAGGTCTACGGGTTATGTTGGGGAGGTCCACAGGTTATGCCGAGAAAGTCTTCAGGTTATGCCGGAAAATAAAAAAGATCCTCGGGTTATGCCGGGGAGATCCACAGGTTATGCCAGAAAAGTCATTGGGTTATGCCGAAAAAGAAAAAAGGTCCTCGGGTTATGTCTGGGAGGTCCACGGGTTATGCTGGGAAAGTCATCGGATTATGCCAGAACAGAAAAAAAGGTCCTCGGTTATGCCGGGGAGGTCCGCGGGTTATGCTGCTAAAGTCATTGGGTTATGCTGAAAAAGAAAAAAAGTCATCGAGTAATGTCAGGGAGGTCCACGGGTTATGCCGGAAAAGAAAAAAAAGGTCCCCGGGTTATGCGGGGGAGGTCCACGGGTTATGCCGGGAAAGTCATTGGGTTATGCCGGAAAAGAAAAAAGGTCCTCGGGTTATGTCGGGAAAGTCATCGGGTTATGCCGGAAAAGAAAAAAGGTCCTCAAGTTATGTTGGGGAGGTCCACGGGTTATGCCGGGAAATTCATCGGGTTATACCGGAAAAGAAAAAAGGTCCTCAGATTATGCTGGGGAGGTCCACGGGTTATGCCGGAAAAAGAAAAAAAGGTCCCCGGTTTATGCCGGGGATCAACTAGGGAGTGGAGACCTATAATGGAAAAGACTACCAGGTTATGTTGGGAGTGACTAGGGAATGAGACCCAATATTGGGAAAACGCAGCTAGAGATTGGGGACCCTAGGCTACCATGATTTTGAATTTTTCTTCTTCTTTTTTTTTTTACTTCACTTTTCATTTTATTTAGGAGAATGAATGAAGAATTTAGAAGAACTTCCCTTTTCGGGTCAACTTTTGTTGTAGAACCGTTTTGGTTTCTGCGTGCCTTGCTTTTATTGCACCTGCTTCTTGCAAGGTTGTTTTGGACTACACCTGTTTCCCTATTTTTCAAACAAGGATCAATTTGTCAGTTTGAAACGGTAGTTGGTTTTGTGGCCTTGATTGATTCAATCACTTGATATTGGCCCAACTTCTTTGATGAAGATCTCAACTGCAATTATTTGTTCACTGGGGACCGATTTCATTTCAGGCCCTGGAGAACCTCTAGTTTTTCTGAACTTTGCCATGACAGTTGGTCGGTGGAACTTAACCTTTTCGACTTTATGTTGCCTTCGTAGGCCTTTCCCTTCTGATTATTTCTTCTTCTGCTTCTTTTTCTTCCTTTTTTTCTTTTTTTCTTTTCTTTTCTTCGGACCATTGGGGAAATTTTTGGCTCCTCAAACTTTGCTGCAACGGCTAGTCGCGTGGGACTTAAAATTTTCCAACTTTATTTCGCCTTCGTAGGCCTTTCATTTCTGGCTTCTTTCTTCCAACTTTAATTTCAGATCATTTGGGTACCTTGGCTTTTCAAAACTTTGCCGAGACAGTTAGCCATGTAGCACTCAACCTTTTCAACTTCATTTGCCTTTATAGGCACTCCAATTTGATTTTCTCTTTCCAAGAGTTTTGATTTCAAAGCACCGGCCGCCATGGCCAGTCGAGGTCGACTTGATGTCCCTGACGAGGCTGGATGCCTTTTTGCACATTAGCTCATGTCAAACGAAAGCCCTGTAAATTAGTCTTGACATCCTTTCTTTGTCTTAGTTTCAGAAACAGAGTTAGACCGAAAGGGATTCAAAGAAAAACAAACAATGGAATGGAGAATGAGTTTAAACAAGATGTGTCCCTTTCGGGGAACGGAAAGAAGGGCTTATCTGGAGTACATGCGGACTCCAATGAACATGACATGCCATTTGGATTGGATTCCCGATCTGTGTAAACCGTCCAACTCTCAGAAATTCATCACAACTTTGCCTCTAAACTGAGGAACCTCGCCAAGACTCTGTTGATGCTGATGGTTGCGAGGATCCTTTTTTTGATCAGTGGCGCCTTTTGCGGGTTTTCACCAACTGACCTCTCTTATTTCTTTCCTCATCGTCGTCTTATAGTGCTCTTCACTAACAAGACTCTCTCATTTCAATTTCTCTGCTTACTATCGCCTCACGGTGCCCGTATGGGTTTTCACCAATAAGACTCTCTCATTTTATTTCTCTGCTTACCATCGCCTTACGGTGCCCATGTGGGTTTTCACCAATAAGACTCTCTTATTTTATTTATCTCATTTTGTTGTATCAGATCCAAATAACTCTATCCTCCCATTTTGAACCTCTTTGCCGATTGATCAGAAGGACCTGAACAAGGTTTTGGGGTAAAAAGGATTTGGATTGAGTTACAACTTTGGAACCTTTCATGCGAAACCATCGCCGAACCATTATAACATCTATCTCAGTTTTACTTTTGAGGGGAATTTGGATTTTTGTTTTGGTGTGACTGAACCCCAGAGAGAGGCTGCCTACGTATCCTTTTGGAATCAAGTCGAACGTAGTTCAAGGAACTTTGTTTTTTGTTTTTTATTTTTTTATATTTTTTTATATTTTATTTTTATCTTTTTCTTTTTTCTCCTTTTCTGTAGTAACTTCCAGGTTCCAAAGAGGGTGATCAAAGAAACAAAAAAAGGTCAACATAATACCTCTTGACCGCATCTGCATTGATAGCTGTTTCGGGGCCATTTCCTTCAATGTCTCCCAAGTACAACACTCCTTTCGGCAACAGTTTTCTTATAATGTACGGACCTTTCCAATTTGGAGCAAATTTTCCTTTNATTTTTTCAATTTTTTTTCAATAACACTTTCAGGTTCCAAAGAGGGTAATCAAAGAAGAGTAACTGGGCAAAGGGTTTGCAAGTTGAATATTTGGATACTAAGAAAGAAAGCCTTCTTCATCCCAACCAGAGAATATTAATTTTGTATAAAAGATCCAACATAGTATCTTTGTCTACATTTGCATTAACAGTCGTTTCAGGGACATTTCTTCGATGTGTCTCAAGTACAATGCTCTCTTTTGGCGATACTCTCGTTATCACGTATGGACCTTTTCAATCAGAAACCAATTTTCCTTCAGCTGTTCCAAATCTTCATTTTTATTTCCTTAAACTTATCTTCATTGCATTCTGATTCTTGATTTAATATTTCGAAGTCTGATAACGTTTTAGGTTCTGGGCAAGAAGTTCGCAAGCATGTCATGTAATTGAAATCTTCAATTAACAGAACTAAAAAGAGAATAAGAAAAATAACAAGATTAAGAAAAGATACATTCCTAGACAATGAAATATTAATTTCATTTGATTTTTTTTTATTTTTATTTTTTTCAATTTTTGAAGATAGAAGGGTTTACATCGAAAAGTAGGACAATAAAGTAAACATTCGAATCACACCCTGAAATAATTCGAACGCGGAAAGGATAGCAAGACTGGCTACCGAGACTCCCGTCTGATTGGGAATTTTCAGGCTTGGCGACCGTTTTTTGGCTTTTCTTCTGTCTCGACAATGGCTGCAATGGCCTTCAATGCCGG